CATCCGGAACGGATAGGCACTTGAAGAAGAATTAAGAGGATAATCGAATGTTCCTCAGGTTTCAGATAATCTATGTTCAAGCCCCCTGCAACCATCAGTTCCGATTTAGGTGGAATATTAGATAAAACAAGCTCAAAATTGTGGATAAAGCGCTAGTGTTTGCGGAACGGTATAAGCATAAGATGTATGTAGTGAGAGAGCGATAGAAAAGCACTAAAAACTCGAAAGTTTTTTCAGAGATTAGGAATGTGAATTTATCGCAGTTCGAAAAATCTGAGTTTGACCAGAATTCCGTGATCACCAGAATAGTTGTACCCCCATTGTTAAAGTTTGACCGACAGAAATTTGACATAATTTGATAATTTGGCTCACCCTCTTCAAGCCAGTGTTCTGTTACAAGCAGTAAGTGTGGAAAATTTTGAGTTTCTAGAAATGTGAATGTGTGCATCAGCCTTATTGCTAGCGGACTGTATATTTTAAAGCAGTAGAGTTACATGAGTTATTTTTTTTGGCACCGGTCTCTTATTCCATCCCCTGAAAAAGAGCTTGAAAATTTAGGATGCAAACCACAAGTATTATCGTGAGCTGAAAAGCTCTCTCCGTTACCAAGCGTGTCACTTAGTTCTTCGAATTATATCCTTGTCGTTTAAATGCCTGGTATTGTTAAAGCTTTGTGGTGATTTGTCTATTGGCAAAGTGGTTGCTTGTGTATGAAAAGATCTGTTATTGACTGAGAGGATACCATTATTCAAATCTGAGTGAATATTATTTAATTGGATTGATTCAGCAATATGGAGGCCCGTGTTCGAGGTTTACTAGTCCTCCATCGGGCGCCTCCCCAGGTGGCGGATAGGGTAAAGCCTCCCAGATATGGGTGGTACCGGGAGAATGAAATACCCAGGGCGGACAAAAACTAGCAAGATGAAGGGCCGCAGCGATCATCTTTACCAACTCGTGACAATAAGGAAATGATCCTGAAATTGACTCGATCACTAGAATTCCACAGGCGAAGCTGAAGCAGCTAGAGGGCTGTGGTACTGCGATGCGGAAAGCAAATGGGAAACTACCGCATTATTCTCTCCAGGATGTCCTTTTGTCCAAAATACTTTATCATTTCAGGAAACAAAAACAGTTTGGCCCTCAGTCCCGGGCAAATGTTAGATCATCAGAGGGTGCTAAGAATCCCCCGGTTTGACATGAGAAAAGTTAATAGCCGAATAGGTACATGGAACGTGAGATGTCTTTTTGGTATTGGCAAACTTGATAATGCCATGCAACGACTCAATATCGACATCCTCGGAATTGGCAAAAGTAGATGGCCCAATAGTGGAATGTGTGATAAGCAGGGAATAACTTTCTACTAATCTGGAAATTCAGACCAAACCCACTTGAACGGAGTAGGATTTCTAATTACTAGAAAAATAAAGAAATCCGTACGAAATGTTGTTGCCTATTCAGACAGAATCGTCCTCTTACAAGTACATGCGAAACCCACTAATCTTAATCTTGTTCAGATATAGTACGCCCCCACAGCAGATTAGCCAGAGGCAGAAATAGAGACATTTTACGAACAAGTCCATGAAGGTTTAAGCTTGCTAAAGTCTGACGAAATGACCATCGTAATGGGTGACTTCAATGCGAAAGTGGGAAAAGAAAGAGTGGATGGTGTGACGGGTGATCTTGGTCTTGGCGGAGAAACACGAACGAGGTAATCTGCTCATTTAGTTCTGTAAAGAGGAAAAATTGGTTATTAAAAATACCTACTATAAACTACCTCCCAGACGGTTATATACATAGCGATCCCCACAAGACAATCACGACCACATAGTCAGAAATCAGATTGATTATATTCTGATAAACCACAGATATCAGAAGAGCATCACGCGTGTGGCCGCATATCCGGGAGCTGATATTGGATCTGACCATAACCCTATAAAAGCCAATTTTAAACTCAATCTTAAAATAACAAGGAAAAGAAAAGCCCCTCGATATTCAGAAGCTTAACAAGACAGACATTAAGGAGAACATGAGACTGGAACTGAACCGACTATGCAATGCCAATGAACCAAGAAGCCAAGACAACCCTGAAGACATTTGGAACAACGTTAAAGAAAATCTTCAAGATGCCTGTGAGACAGTCTTAGGCCAGCAGCAACGCGTCAAAATTCTTGATATAATGGAAGAACGGCGACGTGCAAAACTATCTCAAGAGTCTGAAAGGCATACTGAACTACATCGGAAAATAAAACAAAAATGTAAAGAAGCCAGAGAACAATGGTTCATTGCCGAATGTGAGGAAGCTGAGAGACTCCATGAGCTACATGACTCAGTCAACTTTCATCGAAAGATTAAGCAAATGACTGGCTCTATCAAAGGATCATCAATCCCATCTCTTATAAATAAACATGGAGAACTCATCCTTAATCCAGATGACCTGCGCAATGAATGAAAACATTACGCGGAAACGCTTTTTCTCAATCAGCGCCACTTGCAAGACCTCTCCAGCTCAACAGAACAACTAACTGGGCCAGACATACTGGAGAGTGAAGTTCAACAAGCTATCAGGAACATGAAAAATCGAAAAACCCCTGGTCATGATAATGTACAGTGGGTCCCATTTTGGTTGTCCAATATAAGGGATAACTCGGTTGGCATTTGAATAAGAAGGATGCGGTTTCCGGGAACGGGGGCTACTTTTTTGTCAAACGAAAGATGGCGCCAACAGAATTGTCATCGCTCCTATTGTTTTTCAGATACAAGGTGTTTTTGAAAAAGTTGCATTTTGGACACCCCTTGTATCTTGGTTCTCTCATAGGTGATCGAAAAGGTGACACCGGTTTATATAGATATTTTTACGTAGCTTCCAGTGGCGTAGTCAGTTTTCCTCTAGAAGTGATATATTTTAAATTATGAACCAAACATAGGTTTTTTCAAACGAGACACCCTGTATATTAATAGCTCACTGAATAGCTCTGCTTTTGCTGATTTTAATGATAATGATAGGTTTATCTTTATCATATCCAGTGGCGCACCCAAGAGGGGGGCATCGGGCCAGCTCCCCTTCCCCAGGCCACTCATCTAAAACTGTATGTTTACGTATATAAAATGTATAGCAACATCAAGGCGTAGAACCCTGACACCTAAATTTTTTTTTTAGACACAAGCCACAACCTATGTGGAGCTCCCCCGAACATATTTTCTGGGTGCGCCACTGATCATGTCTGTTCTTGTCATAAGAAACAATATATCAGAAAAGGACTTTGCATCTGTAAGGAAAATGAGAAAGGTCTCTTTCTTACACGTTCCTTATGACAAAAAAAGAAAAAAAAAATGCGGGAAACTGTTAGAGATAAACCTATCGAATTTTATATCATTGAAATCAGCAAAAGCAGAGCTATCCAATGAATATAGGGTGTCTCATTTGAAAAAACGTATGTTTGGTTCATAATTTGAAAAATATCACTTCTAGAGAAAAACTGACTACGCCACTAGAAGCTACGTAAAAATATCTATAAGAAACCGTTATATCCTTTTCGATCACTTATGAGAAAACCGAGATCCAAGGGGTGTCCCAAAATGAAACTTTTCCAAAAACTCCTTATATCTGAAAAACAAAAAGAGCGATGACAATTCTGTTGGCGCCATCTTTAGTTTGACAAAAAAGTAGCCAACGTTCGCGGAAACCGCATCCTCCTAACACCAATATCAACCGAGTTATCCTTTATGGACAACTAAAATGGGACTCACTGTACATACTGAGGTTCTGAAGTTGCTAGATACAAAAATCCTGACATATCTATGCAATAAAATCTATGAGACAGGTAAAATTCCATCGGATTGGCTCAAGTTTACCTTTGTACCCATCCCTAAAAAAAGTGCCCCCAGAAACTGCGCTCCTAAAGTCTTTCTCCGAGTTATCCATGCCCGAATATAATGAGTGTGAAACAATGAGCGGAGAAGCCCAGTTTGGTTTTATAAAGGACCTAGGCACTAGGAAGGCATTCTTCTCTATGAAACTACTTGTCCAGATGTTATGATCAGAGACGAGATGGGTTAATTTGTTTATTTCCTACTGAACTATTATAACCATATAATACCTTGGTTACGATAATCATAAACAGGGTCTTAACTCCCAATGGAGTTAAGGATATCATAACTCCCAAGGGAGTTAAGGATTTCCATAACTCAACGAAATTCCGATTAATAATATTAAATATGCAGATGATACTGCCCTACTAGCGCATTCACCTGAAGACCTTCAACAGCTTGTAGACAGAGTAAACCCAGTAGGTAAACAGTTTGGACTGACAATCAACTCATCTAAAACGAAAGTTATGACTATTACTCAACAACATGTAAGCTTTGTGATGAAAGTTGACGGAAGAGACTTGAATCACGTGTCGCGTTTTGTTTATCTGGGTGTCACCCTTAACCAAAAATGGAACTGCGATGAAGAAGTTAAACTACGAATTGGACAGGCCACAGATTACATTTATGAAATTGAAAATTTTTCTGTTTGTCCGTACTCTCCCAATGGAACTACGTCTTCGGGTTGTCAAATGCTACGTGTGGCCCATGATCCTATATGGTGCAGAGCAGATATGGTCAAAAAAAGTATTTTCCCTGGACCGTATAGAGGCGTTTGAAATGTGGACCCTTCGCAGGCTTCTTCGCATTACATGGACTGCCCGCAAAACCAACGAAGAGGTGTTGAGAATACCTGGAGTTCAACGAGAGCTGCTTGGAATAGTTTGGGCACGAAAGATATCTTTGTCATATTATCAGGGATGAGAGATATTCCATTCTAAAGTTGATCTTGCAAGGGAAGATATATAGAAGGTAAACGAGGGCCGGGTAGAAAGCAACACTCGTGGCTTTGGAATATAAGGGACTGGTGCGGAATAAGAGATGCCGCCACAATATTCCGCCAAGCAGAAAATGGCATCCTCCAAATGGCACAAGTATACGACTAAAGATCGCCAACGTGCGCGTTTGCACAGGGCACAAGAAGAAGAAGAAGAAGAAGAAGAAGAAGAAGAAGAAGAAGAAGAAGAAGAAGAAGAAGAATAAGAAGAAGAAGAAGAAGAAGAAGAAGAAGAAGAAGAAGAAGAAGAAGAAGAAGACGATTCAGCAATCATTCTACCAATCAGCCAGTTTCTAACCTTAAAGCCCCCGTCAGTATTTATATTGATGTAATCAAAGGGAGCTTCAGCGAACCCATTAAATGCACCTATCACCTTTTCTAAATTATTGTTGAAATTATGTATGTAGCCATTGTTGCATTGGTTTTTTCGTAGAGTGGGGCATGCCAAGAATATAAAATTTATTTGGGAACACTTTCTTATCATTTCATGGATGATACTGAATTTTGGTATTTTGCTATTCAAAGTCATTTGATCCGGCAACAATGATAACATAATCGTGCCTACTGTAGTTTTTTATACAGCACTCTAACCCATTCAAAACATTATTATAATGAGCTCTTGGTTTCATAAGTGCTTCAATTTTGACCACCGCTGAGTCCAAATGTTTGCAGATATTTCGTTCTAAGTTCCTTCAATGTTCATCGAATAGAATAAAGACTTTGTGCAGACTGTTTTTCTATCTATTGGTATCTGGTAGCGGTTTAGAAGCTTCTGGAGTTATTTTGTTGGTATTTAAGGTGCAGGCCTGCTTTGGCCTGCGTTCGGCGTAAGACTCAAGCTGCTCTTGAAGAACTCGCATATTGCTTAAGTAATCGATATTAAGCATTTCCAGGTTGTTGATTTTGGTCGTCATATCCTTTGTCAATCGTTGGCTGGCATGCAGCTCTGTCTTGTCCAGCTAGATCCACTTGAAGCTGTTGCTCAATATGTTTTCCCTCCAGAAGCTTACCTTGAAGTTCCTCTATAAATTTCTGGAGTTCAGCAATTTTAATATTGCTGCGTTTTTCCATTTCTTCAGCTTCTGCATTAAAAACGCGCGAGCTGGAGCCTTTTTATGGGAATATCTTTGTGCTTTCGATCGAGTTTTAGTGCGTCTATTTCATTACAGATTTCCGTAATTCGATTTTGGTCGTCGGAGTCTTTGTGCTCATAGTCAGCATCCTTCTGAATGGCTTCAATTTTTAGTTTTTCAACAGCATTCTCAAGTAGAGCTAATTGGGTATTTTTTTCTTCCAATTTTTCGATGAATGGGATGTTGCACTGCTCACTAGTCTCACTACATGGTTTAGAACAGATTATTTTGTATTGGTCTAGTTAGTTTCTTAAAGGGGGTGTGATCCAAAAATTAAAGTTTAAGTGTAAAAAAATCTAAGAATAAATATTTAAACCAAATCTAGCTACGATGGTCCGTTTTCGAGTTGGGGCCGTTTAAAGTTACAACTAGGTGATTGTGACGTCACACTGGATTATCAGAGACAGTATTAACACGTGTAAGAATTTCCCAAAACAAAAGGCAATTATCTCCTAGAGCGAATTGCAACCACTCAAAATATAGGGTACGGTTCACTGGCGACTGAACGAACAGAAGACTGCGATTTCGGCGGTTGTGACATCACAAGTTCCTGCATAATTTATCTTCACAAGGAATTTTCTCGGACACTATTTTGAATATAGGACTGCGGTTTGTTAAAGACCAGTAAAATAAACAAGTTTAGTGCTATCACAACAAAAAGTTCCCAATATTGCTTGAGCTTCAAGAATCAATTTCAGCACCAAAAAAAGAGAAAAAATGTTTATTTGCAATCATATTTGTAATCTTGTCATTACTGACTTTTTAAAAATTTGGAAGTGACACTTTACCTGTGTCACTTCCCTCTTCGATTTCCCTCACCGATTTCCCTATTCGACTTCCCTCACTCTAATTTATTTACCTTTGCTGGCAACAATGAGAACATGTAAAAACGTCAAAGCAGTAAATGACACATTTTGGCATGCTTGCACAGCATGCTTGTTTTATTTTTTTAATATTAAAAAAATTGATTGACTAATCATAATTAATGTTGTGCTTGCAAATAAAATAGTATACAAACCTCGGAGGAAAGTTTTGATTTCTGTCTCGAGATTAATAGACTAGACTATATAAATCTCTCGACAGTAATGAAACACTTCCCTACTCGGTATGTAATATACTATTACACTGCACTAGAGCTTTTATTGTGGGAATCCTTATCTTTAATAGAATTAATAAAATTCACTTTTTTTTATTTAAAAGGAATTCGTTTGAAGTAATCCACAAGATAATTTTCCACTCTTACGCAAGTACACTTCACGATTTGCGAATGCGACGGTACTAAATACGGTACTAAAACCTAGTGTTACTAGGGAATGATTGAATATCTTCAACATCATAGCAATCCATTATCAAATTGTAAAACCCAAAAATATCAATTTTCTTACCAGCTTGACGCGCTTCTTTACAAGCTTCGTACATGCCCTGTCGTGTTTCTTGATAATCGTCCGCAATGGTCTCGCCAACCGTAACGAACCGTTCAACGGCCAAATTGACCGATTGACCGACGCGCGCCACTGCATTTGGTCGTAACGAGCCGCCACTGCCATGATCTACTAAAGACGATATCTGGAAAAGAAGAGATTCGAGTTTTAAATACATTTTCTATGCGAGTTTTTCAATTTGTGAAATTATATAATTTTCAGGCTTAGCTGAAGTAATAAATGGATCCATATATTTTGCAGCTTTACAGGCATTTTCAAATTAGAAACTCGTTACGCTGGCTTTGTTGTGGAAAATGTATCCATTAAGAGAAACGGAAATGTGGTCTTTTATTTTTAGGTTTGTGTCCTAATTTATAATTTTATCTATCCCTACCAAGCTTTTGGCACGGTACCTTTATAGCTCGCGACAATAAGAATTTAATGGCACAAACTCTTTTATAGCAAAATAAGAAAATGTTTAAAATTACCTATGCTAGTTTCATCGTTAAAGTTTTGCACAGAATGGGTACTTTATTAAGATAATGGCTGAAATATTTAGGAATAAGTGCCTCTTGGGTTTAACAGCATGTAATATGGCGATAAGGAGGTAACGTGAAACAGAAAAGAATGTAAAATATATCATATCCTAGTCCCTATTTTATATTGTGACAACTGAATTGGAATAATTTTCTTTTCCAAAATCTATCTGGCTCAAGTTATGGCGTTACCGATTGGTAGGTTCAGAACGCACTGAGTGTATTTGCATTCTTCTAGTCGACCTGTAGAAGAAGAAGACAAAAACAAAAAAAAAGCTATTAGCGTTAGACACTTATCACCTAAAGATGTTGCTTCTTTTAGAAGAGTACAAAGTATGTTCGCACACTACTCAAAACTTATATAAAAATTTGCTGAAAAGATACCATCCCATTGTAAATGTGAAAAGTTTTCCTATGAACAAAGAACAAATTCAAGCATTCGAAAGACCGAAATAAGATATTAATAATGATGCTTTTTAACGTTCGTCGATGAAAAGGTTCCATTTACAGTAGAAACAGATGCTTCTGATTTTGCTATGGGTGCTCAACTGACACAAAATGGTAAACAAGTCGAATTTATCTCAAGAACCTTAACAAAAATAGAAGAAAATCATTCCATCATAGAGAAAGAAGCATACGCAATAATAGCAGCTATAAGAAAATGAAGACATTATCTAATGGGACGACATTTTAGTATAATCACTGATCAAAGATCCGTTGCATTTATGTTTGACAATAAGAGTTTATCAAAAATCAAGAATGACAAAATAATACGTTGGGAAATAGAATTATAATGCTACAAATTTGATATCAGGAAATCAAGACATTGTAGCTGACACACTTTCTAGGACATCAGCTGCTATTCAACCATCAACATCAGAGAAAAATTTGTATGAATAACACAACACAATGTGTCATCCTGATGTCACAAGATTCTATCATTGGATTAGATGAAAGGAATATTTGAAAGATTAGATATTAACTTCAAGGGACTATTGCCTTCCAACAATCACAACAAATATTTATTAGACATTGATCAAGATTTCCGTTGGCATTTCGATGTTCAGATATGTCATCTGCAATAGTAAAAAATTGTTTGACACAACTGTTCTTACTGTTTGGCACACCAGGTTATATTCATAGCGATAGAGGAGCATCTTTTCTATCTATTGATGTGGAATAATTTTTAACAAGTCATGGTGTTGCCACAAGTCGTACAACTGGGAACAATCCAGAGGGAAATGGACAATGTGAAATATTTAATAGAACAATTTATTCTCTACATTCAATAAGATCTCTTTTATGTACTGTAACTAATTCTACACCTCATGAACGCATGTTCAACCATCCTATAGAAGATCGACTAATGGAACCTCAATGTCTACATGGTTGAGCACCCCAGGACCAGTTTTTCTCAAGAAGCATGTTAGACATAGCATATATGATCCATTAGTAGCAGGGGATCTTCTGGAAGCAATTTCAGATTACGCTCATGTATACGCCTATCAAATGGAAGAGAAATAACTGTATAAACTCGCCATTTAGCACAAAGGAGAAATGCGACACTGCCAGCTCTGACAAATCAAGATCAAAATGATGTGACACTACTAATTAAAATGAATGCCATGAAACTGCCACAACAAGATTTCAATGAGTTCACTATTCCTTAAGAAAACCTTACATCAGTCAGTTCAGAACGTTTATCATCTCCTTCCCTATAAATGATTCTAATCGTTCCCTTCCCCAAAATTCGGAACAATCTCACAATGAAAATCATCCAGCTTTATCTGTAACTACCAACAGATTACAGATGAATCCAGTCGTATTTTGGTGAACAGAAATTATAGGCCACCTTCATATCTTCAAGATTATGTCAGAAACTGAGCAAGGAAGAATGTTGTCTATCTTATTACCTTATTTACCTACTGTGTTTCCCATTTATATACCTGTTATGTTGTATGTCATGTTTAGTCATGTTCTGTACTGAATTTAGGCTTATTAAAGCCTTTATTCTGAAGCTCTTTTACTACAGGGGGGTGATATTTTCGTGACCTAAAAGTGTATAAACTTGTTCATAAAATGCAATGGAATATAAAAAGTACATGGCATAATCCTATTTTATTTCTTGTCGCAGCAAGGAAATAAAAATATAAATGAATAGCAACCCAAACACTCCACTTTAAAACTTTAAGCCCTAAAGTAATTTATCACAGACAGAAAAGGCATTTCCTAGGCGCTTAGAAACTTTTATACCATACATTTTGCAAGAATAAAAGTTTTATATTAAAAACGTCCAAAGCAGTGACAGTTTAAATGTTACAATTTAATGGATTCCGTATGAAACGTTCCACATTAAACTGGTCCTATATATGTATGTAGGTACATATACTAGTGTGAGGAAAAAATTCAAAAGTTAAAACTGCATACAGATGTACTTTTGATTGCAAAAAGGATTTTTTTCTTTAATCTCAAATAAGCTCATCGACAACTAAAAGGGAGAAACAACAAGGTGACAAGAACACGAATACGAACAAAAACACCTGCAAGAGTTCACCCATGAAATGAAGTAAACTTTCAAAAATTGATAATCAAAAATCTGGAAAGAACATGGCAGACCCGGACATTGATACCTAGAACAACCTCAAATATTAAGTAGGAAATGTTTATCAAGTGTCGAATAGAAACGTTAATAAACTCGCTGTAGAGCCAGATGAAGTTACTACTAAGAGATAAAGAAGTTAAGATCTTTCAGATATTGATAAGGGAGAAATATGTCATTCTGGAAAAGTTTTAATTGAGAATCTATGGAACTGAACAGGATAAAGCAGAAACAATCGAGGCTTAAATTCAATTAAAATTCTCGCTGATGCTCTTACTTAAACACGTCAGTAGTGCTGTCAAATACGGATTGCCTTCGTTTAACATGAAGGCTCCACTTCTATTGGTTTGTGTTTTCTAGTGCGGACACGGTGCGGACATTCTGCGGCCATGTATAAATCACATGTGTTCTGCGGTTTCTAGACGGCCTAATACAGCCCCTAATTTTCGATCAGCATTGAATAAGATTTGCATTTTAGGGTCAAAATGTTCAGAACAGTATTAGCACTATGATACATTGTTCTGGTCTTACAATATGCTTGACGTCCACTTTACAAGCCCTGTCTGTATGAAATTAACAATTGGAAATCTGTATCTCGTGTCTGAAAAAATAGATCATGTCTCAAATTCACCCTTTCTTTAAAATAAAAATGTTACCCTTCGCTCAAGTATAATATTCTAATATTTGCGAATTAGGCAATAAATTTCGAAATACTTTATAAACGACAGCGTCCGTAGAAGAAGATTTACGACGTTATCGATTGAGATTTTCAGTGTGGCTAAATGCGAATTTGATATAAATTCCAAAGACGTCAGCAAATTTAGGCCGATGAGAAAGTGTCCGAATAAGGGGATCCCGATATCTGTGAGCTTTTGTCTAAAAATAATTTGTCACCTTTTGTTTTAATAAAGTCTTTGAAGATAAGTTTGATTATGTTTTTAAGTTGCCCATTATTGTCCGTCGTTTTTAATCTGACACTTTCCGTATGAGGAGCGAGAGGGTGAAGTATATTGACAAAAACTGGTGTGACGTCCAGGTAACCATTGGCGTTCTAATGTAGGGTGCCACCAGCTCACATTTCTTTCGAGTATCAGATTAAAATCGATGGACATTGAAATTTCAAAAAAATATTACTCTAAAAACTTCTCTTCTTTAAGTGCAAAAAAAAATCATCACCTAAAAATTATAATTGACCGATTGGCAACGCGTCAGTGTTTGTTAAAATATTTGGGGATAAATAAATTAATTTCAATGAAATTTAAATCTTTTCCAGTATTTAAATTCATTATCAAGCACTAAATACACATTAAAAATATTTACCATGCCAAATAATAAATCATCGTTTGGATTAAAATATTTGGAAAAAACTAACGTTAAAAATACTTTCGAGCTGCATGAAATATTTCCAGAATATTCAATTTTAAAATTCAATTTCCGATCCAATGCGCATTTAAGCTCTGTAATAGATTTCCTCTGTGTTTATATAAATCTCGTTTAAACTGGAATATTGGATTTTAATAGGAAATTCAATAATAACTTTACTGACTTTTGTATTATGTATAACCATATTTAGGTTTAATCTGTTCACTGGCACAACTCATCATCAAAATAAAAATGATAGTCACTGGAATGCAAATAGCGAACAAATTCTTTACGAATTATTCATTAAGGTTGAAGGGCTTTTTTCATTAAACTTCTCAAAAGCGTCTAGGCTATTTAATTTTGCACAACCATTTTTTTCTACTTCCTTCCATAATTACCTAGGTGTGTATTTGCCCGCATACTTCCAATTTCTTAATGCATATTTTATGTTTCCATGGGAGAGCACGATACAAAATTATCGGTATTAAATAGTATATTGTTGTATTAGGAGTAGAAGCTTTACTTTTTTGTGCTGAAGCAGTAGGTTTGCGAGCCGAACGTAGTGAGGCTTGCAATACTGCTGAAGCACAAAAAAGTGCTTCTACTCCGTATGCAACACGCTATTTTTTCTCCAAACAAATGGGGTAAGCTCGGGGGTAACTGAATGGTTAAGCGGCAGTA